GACGACAAGATACCACCAAGAAGGCCACCGGAAGAGGTAGGCTGAACAATTGTCTCAGGAATACCACCAGTGGAGCCGACCTCAGAAGTAGGGGTGGGTCCGAGTAGCGTTGAAAGCAGACCACCAACCAAGCCGCCGGATGAGGTAGGCTGCACAATCGACTCAGGAACACCACCTGTGGATCCAGGGACGATGAACGGTCCCTGGAAGCTGGATGCGGCAGGAGAGCTAGGTGCAGCAGAAGAAGCAAGAGACGCAGTGGGTGTCACGATAGTCTCTGGGATGCCTCCAGTGGAGCCGACAGCTTGCTGAGATGACTGGGGAGCAGTCGATGAGACTACCTGGGTAGGTTGGACAACAGATGTGGGTACACCGCCAGTAGATCCAATGATTGGGTTGAGAAGCGTTGAGAGAAGTCCACCAACGAGACCAGCAGAAGTCGTTGTTGCAGTAGGTGTGTCAACGGCTGACGACGATGGCTGCACAATAACATCCGGCAGTCCACCTGTCGAGGCAGGGGTGTTTTCAACACCAGGAGGCGTCGAGGTTGGCTGTGCGATAGCTGAAGTGGGCTGCACGATGGTCTCGGGAATGCTACCGGTAGAAGGCGCTGGCTTGCTGTCGACAGCGGAGGATGACGGTTGTACAATCACGTCAGGCAGTCCTCCGGTTGGGGCTGCCGCTGAGCTCTGAGCGATCGAAGAAGCTGGGGTGTCTTCAACGGCGGTCGAAGAGGCCGCAGCTGAGCTTTGGACAGTGGAAGTTGGTGGAACGATGATCTCAGGTAGGAGGCCAGTGGAGCCGAGGATAGGACCGAGAATAGGGCTGTCAGCCTTGGTAGAAGAAGATGCGGCGCTGCTTTGGGCGGCTGATGTAGGCTGCACAATAGTCTCGGGGAGACCACTGGTAGTGCCAATCTCGGCCGTTGAAGAAACAGCGGTTGTTGGCTGAGGTTCGGTGATAGGCTCGGATGTGGTGGTCTCAACAGGCTTCTCGCTTTGCGCTGCTTCGGAAGTGGACGTAGGAGCAGCTGTAGACGATGGCTCAGTGACTGATTCCTGGATTTGGCTTGATGAGCTAACGATGGGGCTCGACGATTCGACTGCAGAGCTCGATGCCGCAGGTGGTGGCGGTGAAAAGACACTGCTTTCTGAGAGAGGTGCGGTAGAGGAGCTCTCTGCCAAAGTGGAGGACAAGGTGCCAGTGGTGTCTACGTCGCTGGTGCTGACAAGCACATCTGAGGAGGAGGCAAGAGCCGATGAATCGGAACTACCGCGGAACAGCGATTCAATGAAGGACGGGAAGTCCATCTGGCGGGACGAGAGTTGCTCAGTAGTGCTGCTGGACGAGTAGCTGGTTGATGGCTCTGGGGTAGCCGCAGGGGTCGTCGCATTGGTAACGATTTGTCGCTTTACGTGCCTAGCGAAGTAGTATCGGGGACGGCCTTGGGTTTGTTGTGGTCCCGGTGCAGGCATGGCCTCTGCTGTCGTAAGGAGCGGGCCAGAGCCAGAGAGACTGGCCAGAACCAGGGCGGCTGCCCATACTGTCGTTGAGCGAGGCATTGTTACGATTATGATGCCTTGTTATGTAGAATTAGATATCTCGAGAGTCTCGAAGGCAATGTACGTGGAAGCCTGCTGTTATTAGCCATGGCGTTTGCAGTGTCAGTATCAAAACATACTGTCAGGGCTATGGTAAACGAGTGTACTTGACGAATGTCAATGATGGGTAAAGAATGGACCTGTCGCATGTTAGTCTCCATGGAGAAAGCGCGTCAGTGAGCTGGGTGACTCACTAGACTGTCGATGCAGCTAGGAATAGATGGTTGCACGGGCGAAGCGATTACTGCGTCGTCGCGATGTTCTCGGGTTGGTCGCGGGACTATGCTGTCATGTTTGACACTGACAGGTACCGGAGAATAGTCGTCGCGTGGGTCTAGAAGCACGCGGCACCGAACCAGGGCCGATCAGAGACTGGTACGCACGTGGATGACAGCGAGCGAGCAGGCAGGCGACAAAGGATCGTAGGAGTGGTCGAGGCACTCTAAGCACGATTCGCAGCGATTGCGCTTTCTTTGTTCCTGAGCAGCGGGTGGCCGTGCGTGTCGTAAGTGGTCAGCGGGGCTGGGACGCGTTTTCGTGGACGGTGCGGTGCTAAAACGAGCGGCGACGACGTTGATAGGCAACGGTCAGATTACTAGTAATTGCGGCGACGGAGCGGAATTGCTTTTGAAGGAGTGGTCGTGATTCGGAGAATCGTGCAAGAGAGCGTGAGGCCTGGGCGACGTGGAGAGCGGTGCTTGACGGTCGGAGGAGAGAGCCACGGGGAGCCACGGGCGGGAGATGCGCAGAGTCGATATATGAATGCGCCCGTTTGGGGGTTGTCGGCGGGTGGTGGAGAAGAGGTCGGCTTGGGGCGTGGGCGACGGGTAGTGAAGAAGAAGAGAAGACAGGGCGCCGGTCAGCAGCAGCAGTCGCCCAAGTGTCCAGGCCAAAACGGCGGCAGGCAGGGGCGAGGGGCGGAAGAGGGAAAGCGCCGTGGGCTGCGAGTCGCCAACGTGTGCTCCCTGCAGGAGAACCAACTGCCCACCACTAGTGCCAGTGTCCAGGACGGGGAAAGCCAGGGTTTCGCGCGGCGGGCCTCTGCATTCGATAGTCGCAAAATAGAACGGCGCTTGCTGCAGAGGGAAGTAGTTCGCTATTGACGTCGCGGGTGGAGACCATGTGAAGGTTATGTGACAGGAGACAGCAAGACTTCAGAGGCGGCGACGACGAAAAGGCGAAGCGGACATTGTGTCTCCATCAGCAGCAGATTGCGCATGCCGCCACGGTGCGCCTGTGGATTAATTTGCATCTGGCCGCGAGGCCCTGGTCGTGCAGACGGCTGTGAGCTCAAACCGCACTAGCCAAGGGTAATATATACCCCGGCTGTGCTACCGTATAGCCCAAGACATGGAGTATCCCTTGCCTACGATATGGCGACTGAACCCTCAATTTCGAGGAATTTGGAGGCGGCCGCCTGCGCAGTGTTGATGTCCATCTCCAGCGCCTTGCTCCCCACCGTTCGATGCGCACGCTGCTGAGGAAGGAACGGCCATCAGGCGGCCAATAAGGGAAGGCCCAGCCCTTGCCCTTGCCGAGCCCTTCATTTCGGCATGACACGGGTCCCGCTCGCATGCGAATGATGATGATCGCTCACCACGCCGCCTCATGCTGCACCCAACCCCGTGGACATGCTTTGATTGTTCGCTCAGAAGCAATATCGCGGCACCTTCCTGGGCCCTGCACACTGTTATTCCAACGTCTCTACCGGCTGACTGTAGGAAACTGCAGGGCTGCGTATCGCCTGCAGCCACCCAATTCCTTCGCTGAGCAAGCCATTTTGCCGGTCTGTGTCCACAGTCATTCCGAAGTGCGACCAACTACTACCGTACCACGCTATCGTTTTTTGACAGCCATGTGCGCTTTGCCTGCATCGTCCAGGACTGTCCTCTCGACGACTCGCCAAAGTTCGTCCTAGGGCAGACGGCTGGTTTCGACTTCTGCTCGCCGCCTCCACGCCTGCGCCCCAGCGAACGACATGAACTTTACAGCGCCCTAGGTTCGAGGTAGCCCCTGTCCGTGGCTAGCCTTCACTTGGACTGCAGCCTCGACGTCGGCTCCTGGTACCGGTACTTTCTGACTGGACTGTCCTTCATCTCTCAAGTCAGCATGGCCTTGACTGACGCCATTCCATCAGCGCCTCAGATGCGCATTCCGTGCTCTAACGTTTCATATCTCTCGGTCTGCGACTATGAACGCCTGCCACAGCTATATTTGGTTGTCTGTCGACGTTCTACAAACATTCCACCTGGCGGGTGCCGAGGCTCGCCTTGTCATCGGGTACTGTGACTCGTTTCAAGCTCCTGCGTAGCACTGTACGAGGAAGGTGTGAATCCAACCCACAGGTCTGAGCCGATCCAATGGTCCAGCCAATGCACCGCGGCATCGGGCTGTCTCCTTGTTTCCTGGGATTCCCCTTTCTGTCGCTTGGCTTTACCATTTGGTCGAGGCCAACATACCCGTAATTCAAAGCATCGCAAGGAGACTTCCGCCGCCACGGTTAAACATGTCGACGGCTGATCTTTTAGATCTGAACAGCATGCACGCGCTTTGCTGTGCTGTGCTGTGCTGGGTGATATTCCAACACCGTGAGACCACCCTTGCCGGCATGCGCTTGAACGTTTCGAAACCATTCCTGCCGACTAGAAGAAGAACATTCCTTAACGATCTGAACATATAGCCCCAGGCCCCGCCTCTGCATTGGGCACGGTTGCGATCGTCATTTTCATGCTATATTTCTGGTCCTATGTATACTCTATGCAGGCTTCAACTGCTCCGGAGTACACAAGGTTGAGGCTGCATTTCACCTTATGCTCGGCTTCCACTGTTGTTTCCTGTCAGATCCGCATGCCGCAGCCTCTCGCAGGGTCGTTGTTTATGGATCTTGTCTCCCGAAACGTGTTCTGTGTCGCTTCCACGAGGATCGGTGGGGCATGACGGCACGCATGAACCTAGAATCTCCATCTCCACTTTGGTGGCCAAGCACTCTTGTAACCTGGGCATTACCGACTTCCAGAAGCCACCCATTGGACTTCTGTATATGGTTTGCACGATATGTGTCTCCGTCTGCTGTTTGTGGAGTGCCACTGGGGATGAAGAGACAGCACGTAAACCTTGACACCGTGTTCAGGCATACAAACAGTACATGTTACATGTACAACGAGGAAAGATGTCTCATGACGTGGCAATCGTTGCAAGTTACAGAAGATCTACGAGAAGAGTGTGTTCGCCTTCTGCTAACCCTTCGTCTCTGACAACTGCTGCATTAACACTCGTCATAGTCCGTCCATTTGCTGCTCTTCCCAACATGCAGAGTACCCACAACCAGGCCCAGTTAGCAAGTATCCTTAGGACGACGTCGCGTCCTCCTTCGCCACAACATACCATGTCATAGTCCCACTAGAGCCATCCCCAGTCACCATACTCGACTCCCCTTCCTGAGTGAATATGCCCACAGACATGGAGCCGCGGTTTGACACGCCAAAGTTCCCGCTGAAGATAAACGCAGCCCTGCAAATACGATGGGTTCGATAGTGACGAGTCGAGGTGGCCTTTCGCAGGGCCATGTGTGACGAGTATATCTGTCGCCTCCGGGACGGTGTTCGACCATACGTCTTCTCCCTGATACTGGAATGCCCAGTTGCCGTATCTCGGTGTCATGGGACTTCCATAGACCTTGACATCCCTGTCCCGAACATTGAGCACCCTTAACTCATTCTCGAGGTATACTACGCTTCCCCATCTGAGGTCTCGCAGTCTGCGTTCATCATTCTCTAGGCTTGCAGGTCGTGGGTTGCGGCGAAAGCACTGATCGAGGAGCAAATCGTGGTTCCCTGCTATGACGATCTTGTGTTGGTGTTGCAGACTGTTCAACCAGTCGAGCTGTAACTGCAGCTCTTCAAATGTGCCGTTGACTGTCAGATCGCCGGCGTGGATCAAGATGTCGCCGTTCGGTACATGCGGCTGCTCGTTGTGCGTATCGGAGATGCAGATAACCCTAACAGGGATCGTAGAAGCGGACTTCGATGTTGTGGACGCGGGCTGTGATATTGTCGAAAGCGGTCGGTGAGCATATAACCACTGTGCGATGAAGAGTATTGGGTCCTTCTGCATACGCTGCCATGCTGATGGCAGCGCGGGCGCGAACATGTTGGACTTGCCAAACGTAGACCGTGTATATGTGGTTGTCATGTTGCAATGTAATGTGTAAGTTGCCGCTGTGAATCATGCTTCGCACAGCCAGCTAGACGCGTTTTCTAGGCAGCAACGAGATGGAGATAGCCATATATGACAGTCGTGGTTGGAGATTTCATGATTGACAAAGATCTATGGTACCAGCATCCATGGATTGATCCAGCGAACCATGACGAACGAAAAATCCTCGCAGTACCATCCAAATCAGTGTTCCCACTTCTCCGCCATCGGCACTATAGCCACAGCGGTCGCATAGTCTCCATCATGGCTGATGCTAATTTCGCACAGTTGTCCATCGATCTCGCTCATATCGATCAGTCCAATTTTGCCGTCAGGCTTCACCCAGGTTGGCTCGAAATCCTCGTAGACCATATCCAAAATCAAGCCCTGGGGCCGTAGCGATTGGTGCTTACTGCGATCAACCGCGGTAACAGGGAGGATCATGATATGCTTGAACCCTCTTTGAACAATGTCGAGGTGTTGAATTGCTTTGCGGCAAGCCTCTTTCGCTGCGAACCTTGTATCACGTAAGCTCCTAGTTGGGAGATTAAGCTGATGCGAATACTCACCTGCCAGCGAGAAATTTGGAGATTACATCTGCCTTCTCCAAGAAGGATTCTTCATGCCCAAAGCGATGCCAAAAGTACTGGCGCTCGTGCTCGGTAAACACTCGCTTCAGGTAGTGACGCAGAGGGCGCAGAGGCTCGCCTTCGCTGCTGGTACGGGGCGCGATGATGGATCGCACTCTTGGGACATGGCAGATATCGGTGCCCACGCGGAAGGGGAACGGAAAGGGTCGCGGTGGCATGGGAAGTTAGATAGCAGCTGTCCGGACTGGGGAGCGTGTATACGCCAAGATGGGCTTGGCAGTCAACACAATGTTGTCACATAGAAAAGCGCAAAAAGTATGGCTTCAGCCAGAGAGACCTACTGCCCTCATGCGCAAAAAGATCGACGTTGGCCAGATTCGAACTGACGCTCCCGAAGGAACAAGATTTCTAGTCTTGCGCGATAACCACTCCGCCACAACGCCCCCGTTTTTGCTGCTACTGCTGCTTCGATGAAAGAAAGTGATGGCAAACATATTATATCCCAGCTAATTGGAGTTTGGACTGTGCGTAGATAAGGTGGGGTGGCACCCAGAAGCCTGCCGTGCCTCCACATCTCCACCCAGACATTCATGATCCCGAACGACCCCACCCGCTTACCGTCTTCGCAGACTGAGAGCTCAATCTTGGTCGATCAAAGTCATCATAGTTGACGTTGGCACCGTCATGGGCGGCAAAAGGCCCGATGTCAAAAAGTTTCGATTGTTCGCCTGATCCCGCGAAGAGCCGCAACGTTGCGTTTCGGACATGAAGATGAGGCGGGAACAGAGAAACTCCCCGCAGCCACCGGATTCCGACGACCAATAATCCTCATACCGCCACGCGTTCCATAGCTTTGATTCGCTTGCGCACCCATTACTACCCGACGCGGAGTACGGTCAACGGCCAGAAGTCTGCTACACGTCAGTCTTGGTACTCGATGAAAACGGCCCAAACCCAATTCAATGATTGTGTAGGTAAGGGGTCCTGGTGCGTGCGACACCTAATCTGGGATCATGGTAGTTGTGCATGGCTGTATGCTTCAAGCTACGGTTGGCTCGCCTTTGTGGAAGTCCGGCCTTGGAACAAAGAGCTAGGGTGCCAGGGCTGATGTGCATGCGGCCATATTCTGGTGAGACGATGCTGATGGGCTGTGGTGTTATGCGGTGATGTTCAAATGTGCTTGGTCTCCTCGGTGATTATTCTCCTACGAGCTCCTTCCATCAGCTGCACCGTTCAGAAGTGCAGTTACGCCTGCGAAACCAGGACTAATGCAGCCACAAACCTCTCCACGCCTACCCGGCGTCCCCATCCTAAAACTAGACTCCAGCGGGCCGGAGTACTCTCGCTGGCGACGCAGTCTCCAGTTCGCGCTGGAATCGAAAGATACTTGGAAATACTGCAATGGCGCTCTACCCATGCCTATGCCAAAGGCACGGCCAGTTCCAGACATCTCCTCAGAGGAAACGAAAGACGTAGAGCCGAGCCTGCTCGAGGAGCGAAGAGCATGGGTTCGACAAGATCGCGAGGTCAAGCTGGACATGTTTCTTTCCGTGGCAGAAGAAGTGATGCAGGAAGTCTTCGAAGTCGGGCCACCCCTACCTCCCATCAACCACACTTCGCAAGAAATGCTGCAAGCATTGGACGATAACTTCGGTGTCTTTAGCTTTTCTGGATACCACCACGCATTCTGCCATTTCCTAAACCTACACATCGACCAGTACGCAAGCATCCAGGACTTCAACACTGAATTCACGACGGTACTGGAAGATCTGATCGACTACGGCCATCCACTCTCCAACACACAAGCATGCAGCGCGTACCTCTCTAAGCTGCGATGTACGCAGAACCCGGGGGTAGCGAAGAAGTTGGAGGAGTTGGACACACTGTCAACAGAACCGGACATCCACGACCTCATGCAAGAGTCACTTTCGTGGCCATGCATCCGCCCACTAGCGACGAAGTCCTCTCAGATCTTCCAGGTGCCACCGGTATCAGAGGAGTGCCGTACGGATAACGGGAGTCACTCCCATGGCGATCCGCCCGGTCTCTCAGATACCTCCACCGTATCGTCGGAAGGGTCTCGTTCAAGGCAGCTATCCATAAAAGTCAACCACCCGCAGTGGGCCGTTACGCGAGCTTCTGACAACGTCGATCCGCAGGACCTGCGTGAAGCAATCGAGAAACTACTCACCACGGGCGAAGCGGATCCTTCCAGTCTGAATTACGATGGGTCAGCGATATCAGCATGCGCAACCCCGGATTGGTTGAAGGCACAAGAGAAGGCATTCTCCAAGCCACTTCCGATAGCAGAGCCACCAGCCCCTACTGAGTCACATACTCTACGAAAGACCGCCTCCGAGTCGCGCGCGCGATCCGCTTCACCACGGCTCCTGTCTCCACTGTCCAGAACCGTGTCGCAAACAAGTCTGACTGTACCAACCATGACGACGCGTCCACACTCCGCAGACACATCAGCCAGGTCATCCCAACACGTTCAGCGACAACCCAGGCCACCAATGTCAGTGTGGAGAGCACCAACATATCCGCCACCAGCACTGTCTGACCACCCGGCTTTCCGAGACAATCCCTTTCTACCCAAAGAGCGTGCGCAATCAGATTCCCTCCTTGTGGACGCGAGTAGACCTGAGCCTAGACCCGACGACTATGAACCACCTCATTCAGCACCACTACCGCACCCATACCAGTACTCGGCTTACTCGTCAAACAGCAGTAGCGCGATAAGCTTGCCCATCCAAGGAACGAATGAGTCGTCATGGAGCTACGGTAGCAACAACAGCGATGACATAGAAGAACACATACTATCGCCCGTCGCATCTTCCATGCTTCTCCCACCCATGGAGGACAGATTTGTTACTATTCAGCGAAACAATGCCCCTCTCCCTCCTCTACCCGTAGACACGAGCGTCCTACAATGGCGCACACCAACGTTCGACGATCTTGTCCCGCCACCGCCCCCGAAGAAGAGCCGTCTGCGTAAAACATCTTCGACTCTCGACATGTTGAAGCGGCTCAGTGGAGACAGTCTCCTGGAATCGAGTGACGAGGTACGGGAACGTGAGGAGAAGAAGCATCGGGAAAAGGAGAGAAAGGGGAAAAGCTGGAGTATTGGCAGTATTGCGAGGTTTACGCATAGCAAAGGGGTTAAGTAGACGCATTAGTTTGCGATAATGATGACTATGGTGCGTATGATGAGAAAATTGAAGATGTGCCGGACGGCTACTGTTCGTCTCACTGCTTGTATGGGTGTTTATTCCTTTGTCGTCAGGTGAACCGCTGGAGCTGTATACCCTATGTGTTGATTTGAACATATCATTCTTTTGTCTGCTATCATGTATGCCACACCGAGTCTCATGAATGTGACTGTCCAGAGACCCTTTATTCGTTGTGTCTGCCGAAGCGATGTATTTGTACAGTCTTTTAAGTGTTAGACCAGAGGGGGGAAATGGCATCACATCCGGATGTTCAATAGCGGACTTTAATAGTCTAGATGAGGGGAGGACTGGTCTATGATAGATTCTCCATCCCAACAGTACGGCTTGGTCGCCGTCTCGTATAATCGTAACACATTAGAGCTTCGGCCAGTCGTGGCTAGCAAGACTCCTGAAAACCTCTACAAGGTGCTATGCCTCCACCCTACTGTGTCTCCCTCACAACCTTGTCGACAGCCTTCGCAAAGTAGTCGACGTTGTGTGTGTTCAGGCCAGCCATGGAGATACGACCGTTCTTGGTCATGTACACATGGGAGTCTTCCCGGATCTTCAGAACCTGCTGCTCTGTCAAGCCGGTGAAGCTGAACATGCCAATCTGCTCTGTGATGTGGTTCCATGTGCCGGGTGTGCCCATGTCCTCGAGCTTGCTACGAAGCGCCTTGCGCATCTCCTTTATACGACCAGACATTGTGCGGAGGTTGTCTTCCCATTCAGCGAAGAGCTGGGGGTCGTTGAGGACGGTCGAGGCGATGCGGGCACCGTAGGCAGGAGGATTTGAGATCTCGGAGCGCTGGAGGATGGCGAGCTGTGAGGCGATGCGCTTGATGGTGGACTCGGCGTCGGATGACGGAGAGGTGACGAAGTGGAAGCAGCCTGCTCGCTCGCCGTACAGACCAAAGTTCTTTGCGTAGGACTGGGCAATGCAGAGCTCGAAGCCCTGCTCGACAAAGTAGCGGATCGCCCAGCCGTCAGTTGCAAGGTCACCTGAAGCAAAGCCCTGGTATGCGGTGTCGAAGAAAGGGAAGTGCTTCTTTGACTTGATCACCTCGGCAATCTTCTTCCACTGCTCTTGTGTAGCGTCGACTCCGGTGGGGTTGTGAGCACACGCGTGCAGTACGATGATGCTGCCCTCTGCCGCATCTTGCAGGGCACCGATCATGCCATCGAAGTCGAGGCC